TCCAACTTCAGCTATGGGTGCGTTAAATCTCTCGCCACTATTTGTCTGGAAAATGATTATACAAAATATGATATTCAACACAATGTATTACAGGAGGGAAAGGGGTTCTTGAATTGGTTTCTTGAGAAATATAATTTTTTTTCTCACTTTTATCATTAACTCTAATGGAAAATAATTGCGAAATAATTCTTTTGTGTTTAATTAGTCGCCAGGATTTCAATTCACACGTCATTGTATTGTGAGTCGTGTTATTCGCACAGAATATTAAGTCAATAAGTGTTTGGGATTTCAGCATTTGATGCGCTAATAACTATCGCATTTCTTTGCGACTATTGTTTGCGAGTAAATAACATCTAATTATTTGCTAAATAAACACCAAGAATATAATAAAAACATCTCTCTCACTGACTAACTCTCTATCTCTCTTAACACTATTTATAGCCAAAGAATATAAGTCATTGTCTTATGAAAATATCAGAGAGAGAGAGAGAGAGAGAGAGAGAGAGAGAGAGAGCTGACAAGTGTGTGAATAGTTAACTGAAATCTCTGGCGAATTGTTTGGCGCAAACAATTTTCTTAAGCCTCCAAAAACTACGCCAAACCTAATGATGATAAGTAAATGGCATTAATTCTGGTCTCAAAAACTTATGAATATTGATAATTCAATTGACAGATTAGTGCGTCAATGGATGAGTTCACTCAACGCTGGGGTATAGATAGAGGTTTGTGAGCACCAGAATCGTCGCACCACTCATACCCATCGCCATCGCCGGCAATTAGGTTACGCTATAAATAATGTCTGAATCGACCATGCCACATTCTCGCATTCCCCTCCCCCCAAATCACACACCTTGTTGTTTAGCCATAATTCCCGGAATTGTATGAATGACTGGAAAGGGTGGGGTAACGGCCGGTGAGAACTTTACCCACAGCTTATTGTTTACTCTTATATTCTCTCCAATAGTTTTTCAGGTAGTTTTGAAATACCGGTGAAAATGTGGCGAAAAGTTTGTATTTTTTGGCTGAATTGTCACAAAAGTTTTATTTTTGTAATTGTAGTTAAATTTAAATAAAAACACTCTCTTAGTTAACGGATCGTGAAATGCATTTATAAACACAATGTATATCGAGTTTTATTGTATGCATGTATTGGCAAAACACTCATAATTTTTATCCTTAATTACACTAATTTGATAATAAATTCTGATATAATACTGATTAAAGTGAAGTGATTTCTGTAGTTCATTGAAAACACATCTTTCTCTTCACACACACCACACATATCCTAGAAATATATCTCAGTTTTTACAATACATAACAAATGATATAATACTTAATTCATGACATGTTTTACACATTTGTAAAGCTATTATTATTAAAAAATAAAAATATTCTACAAATTAAGTGTTAGTTAATTCATAATAAATATATTTTTGCTGTAAAAATATTAGTGTTTGTGAAAAAGTTTTTTATTCAATGAAAAGTATTTTTCCATAGGAATCGGTGTAATTAGCCGTGAAGTGTGTGCGCAATGTCTGGAACCGATTGGTGATAATTCACGTGTTGTTCTTTTTTATCATATCGTTATCGTTGAAGACATAATTGATGGTTGGAAGCGATGAGATGTACTCCGCGGTGAGTGTTGTGCGCAATGCTAACCAACACCACAACCGCCACATCTGACTCGTGAGAGGCAACACAAGTAGTCGATGGGTTGTGTCTTATAAATGGTATCCCCATCTCTCATATATAACGCATACATTACATCTCCCTGTATATGCCTCTCTCTCTCTCTCTTCTCTCTATGGCTGTGAGAAAACTAATACTTGAATTGTAATTATAGTCGAAGTATACACACATATCCACACAGGTATCTAATGGGGTATGTCTTAGCGCCCCAATACATACCAGTTTACGCTTTCACTCATCATAATATCACCACTTTGGAAATGTGCAACTGTGTGTGTGTTTCTTAAATCTCTCNNNNCTCTCTCTCTCTCTCTCTCTCTCTCTCTCTCTCTCTCTCTCTCTCTCGCTCTCTCTCGCTCTCTCCTTCCCTCGCTATCCCAATAGGAACTGTCTGTCTGTGCACTGACTCACAGCTTCGCCGCATCCATCCGAACCCTCTCTCCCTCTCTCACTCACTCACTTCACTCCACACTCGCACTCACTCTCCCATACCTACCACTACTTGCAATACACCTATCATTTCAAAGCCAGAAAGTGATGATCGCTTACGAGACCGGCATTTGATGCGAGAGAACAGGAGAGAGAGAGATAGCGATATAAAAAACACATACAGTGAGCAAAACAGTGAACAGAAAGAGAGTCTCTGAGAGAGAACGAGAGAGTCAGAAGTTAGTGAGAGAGACAGACAGAGAGAGAGACAGTGAGAGAGAGAGAATGGCGAACACGGAGTGTAGAGTTGAAAGTGGTATCTATTGATTGATTCCATCATTAATTATCACATTTTTAGTTGAAATTAATTGATTGACAACTCGTGAAGAATACGAAGAGTGTGTGCGAGAGGTTAGCCAAGAGTGAAGGGATAGCGTGTGTTGTATCGACTCGAGTGACAATACAAACAGAAGCCAAACGTCAAAACTTTTCAACCAAAACAACCACTCATTCAGCGAAGAAGTGGTGGGAAGAAGAGAAGAAGGAGTAGAAAAATATATATATATCGAGTGATACATCGAGTGATAGACGCGAAGACATAGACAACGGGCGACACAATGGGTGAGAATAAGAACAATAAGAAGCCGAAGAAACAGGAGAAGCAGGAGCTCGAAGACCTCAAACAGGAGGTAGTGATGGACGAACACAAGATCGGTGTCGACGAGCTGTACTCACGGCTGCGGACCAATCCGGACACCGGGTTGACGAACGCACAGGCGAAGCAGATCCTCGATAGGGACGGACCCAACAGTCTCACACCGCCGAAGAAGACACCCGAATGGGTCAAGTTTTGCAAACAACTGTTCGGCGGATTCGCTCTCTTGTTATGGATCGGCGCTGTTCTCTGTTTTCTCGCCTACTCTATACAGGCCACCACTTTTGAAGAGCCACAACCCGACAATGTATGTCATTTTGTTTTGTTGTCTAGTATTTTATACATGTATTGGTTATTTGATATTTTATATTGGCTATTTTGATGTTGGTTGTTTTTTGTTTTTGTTTGTTCGTGTTAGCTCTATGGTTTGTTCGGTGATGTTTTGTTATGGTTAATCCGTAGAATTAGTATTAGTATATATGTTGGCGGTGTCCGAGTGTCCAATTTAATCGTGGATATTTTGTTACCGATTTTTGTGTGTATTTTTATTGATAATCCCTTCCACTGCCCATACATTGGAAACTAAAGCCAATGAGATTTTAATTACCAATTAATTGTGTATTAAATATCGTTTTAGCTAATGGTTTAACAATAGGTTATTGTCAATAGCGTTAGTGATTGTCTTATAACTGATGGTAATTGAGATGAATATTAATGTATGAAATGTTTTGTTGGTTTCGCTAATCGCTGATTGATATCCCTCTGCACTGATAGCTAATAATTGGTTTAAATTCAGTTCACATGACAGTACAGTGCGCTAAATATCGGCTGTGTTTACACAAACACACAATTCATTAAATCGTTTGACATAATGTTTATTAAGTTTTTATGTCAATATTTATCGCCGATAACATGAAAATGTATTACTATTTTCCTATTCTCTCTCTCTCTCTCTCTCTCTCTCTCTCTCTCGCTCTCTCTCGCTCTCTCCTTCCCTCGCTATCCCAATAGGAACTGTCTGTCTGTGCACTGACTCACAGCTTCGCCGCATCCATCCGAACCCTCTCTCCCTCTCTCACTCACTCACTTCACTCCACACTCGCACTCACTCTCCCATACCTACCACTACTTGCAATACACCTATCATTTCAAAGCCAGAAAGTGATGATCGCTTACGAGACCGGCATTTGATGCGAGAGAACAGGAGAGAGAGAGATAGCGATATAAAAAACACATACAGTGAGCAAAACAGTGAACAGAAAGAGAGTCTCTGAGAGAGAACGAGAGAGTCAGAAGTTAGTGAGAGATGCTTCTCCTGTTTCTTCGGCTTCTTATTGTTCTTATTCTCATCCATAGTATTTATATGTGATTTATGTCTAGAATTTCTTTTTATCCGTCAGTAATTGTATATCTCTTTTCTTTGTCGGCAAAACAAATGCACTTTTCTTTTGCAATGAAAACGCCAGAAGAATATCAGTTTGCATGATATGCGACCGCTGATGGCCTGTCCGTCAGTCCTATTCCCCCGCACTATAATAATTGTCATCAAATTTTATTACATATCTTTGAAATGCCATTAAATTGTCAATTGATTTATAAATAATTGATGCAATGATTGTGTTGACACAAACGACGAGAAAATTAAATTTTATGATTTGTAAACTTATTGACACAACAATTAATATGTCATGATTTTATATGTTGTTTACTTTACCCAAACATACAGCTCTACTTGGGTATAGTGTTGGCCGGTGTGGTGATCATAACCGGGTGCTTCTCCTACTATCAAGAGGCCAAGTCGTCGGCCATAATGGAGTCGTTCAAGAATATGGTCCCCCAATACGCCACTGTCATCAGAGAGGGCCACAAGAATATTATTCCCGCCGAAGAGGTAGTGGTCGGTGACATCGTGGAGGTGAAGGGCGGCGATCGAGTGCCCGCCGACATACGGGTCGTGAAAGCCCACGGCTGTAAAGTGGACAACTCGTCGCTGACCGGCGAATCCGAACCGCAGACTCGTTCACCCGATCTCACGCACGACAATCCACTCGAGACCAGGAATTTGGCCTTTTTCTCGACCAATTGCGTTGAGGGCACGGGTCAGGGAGTGGTCATCAACACTGGCGACCGCACTATTATGGGTCGCATCGCGAATCTGGCCTCCGGTCTAGAGATGGGCGAAACGCCGATCGCCCGCGAAATCGAGCATTTCATACACATCATCACTGGTGTGGCCGTCTTCCTCGGTGTCTCCTTTTTCATCATTGCATTCATTCTCGGCTACCATTGGTTGGACGCCGTTATATTCCTGATCGGCATTATTGTGGCCAACGTTCCCGAAGGACTGTTAGCAACGGTGACCGTATGTCTGACACTCACTGCCAAACGGATGGCGAGTAAGAACTGTTTGGTGAAGAACTTGGAGGCCGTGGAGACACTGGGCTCGACGTCCACCATATGTTCGGACAAAACGGGAACTTTGACACAGAATCGGATGACAGTCGCGCACATGTGGTTTGACAACCATATCATCGAAGCCGACACCACCGAAGACCAAAGGAGACACTGGGCTCGACGTCCACCATATGTTCGGACAAAACGGGAACTTTGACACAGAATCGGATGACAGTCGCGCACATGTGGTTTGACAACCATATCATCGAAGCCGACACCACCGAAGACCAATCGGGCACTCAGTTCAACAAGTCATCGCCCGGTTGGCAAGCGATGGCCCGCAACGCCTGCCTGTGCTCTCGCGCCGAGTTTAAGGCCGGCCAAGAGTTGGTGCCAATACTGAAGCGAGACGTGGCCGGCGACGCGTCCGAGTCGGCCATTTTGAAGTGTATGGAACTATCGGTGGGTAATGTCATGCAATACAGGGCCCGGAATCGGAAGGTATGCGAACTGCCCTTCAACTCGACCAACAAGTTTCACGTGACTATACACGAGACCGAAGAGCCGGACGACCCGTCGTATCTGTTATGCATGAAAGGAGCGCCGGAGCGCATACTGGAGGTGAGTTCAACCATATTCCTCGACGGCAAAGAAGTGCCGTTGGATCAGGAGTTGAGGGATGCGTTCAACACGGCGTACATGGAGTTGGGCGGACTCGGCGAACGGGTTATCGGGTTTAGCGAACAGAAACTGAGTCCCGATAAATACCCGCCGGGTTTTCCCTTCGACTCCGACGAATGCAATTTCCCGTTGACTGGTATGCGATTCATAGGGTTAGTGTCGATGATAGACCCGCCGCGAGCGGCTGTGCCCGACGCCGTGGCCAAGTGTCGCAGCGCCGGCATCAAAGTGATTATGGTTACCGGCGATCATCCCATTACAGCCAAAGCCATCGCCCGATCCGTCGGTATTATATCCGAAGGCAACGAAACGGTTGACGACATCGCCGCTCGGCTTAACATCGCTGTGGAAGACGTGGACCCGCGGATGGCGAAGGCGGCCGTCGTTCACGGCCAACAGTTACGCGAATTGTCTGCCGAACAGTTGGACGACTTGTTGCGAAACCATCCGGAGATTGTGTTCGCCCGGACGTCACCGCAACAGAAGCTGATTATAGTGGAGGGCTGTCAACGACAGGGAGCTATTGTGGCCGTCACTGGCGATGGTGTCAACGACTCGCCGGCGCTGAAGAAGGCGGACATCGGTGTGGCGATGGGTATCGCCGGCTCTGATGTGTCCAAACAGGCGGCAGATATGATACTATTAGACGACAACTTCGCGTCGATAGTGACGGGTGTAGAAGAAGGACGGCTTATATTTGATAACTTGAAAAAGTCGATCGCATACACACTGACCAGTAATATACCGGAGATATCGCCGTTCCTACTGTTCATTCTGGCCGACGTCCCGCTGCCGTTGGGAACCGTAACCATACTGTGCATCGATTTGGGCACAGATATGGTTCCGGCCATTTCGTTGGCCTACGAACTGCCCGAAAGCGATATAATGAAACGCAAACCCCGGGACCCGAAACACGACAAACTGGTGAACGAGAGGCTGATATCATTGGCTTACGGCCAGATCGGGATGATGCAGGCCGTCGCCGGCTTCTTCACCTACTTTGTAATTATGGCCGAAAACGGATTCCTCTTCGACACACTCATCGGTGTCCGCAAATACTGGGACTCCAAAGCGGTGAACGACGTGACCGACTCCTACGGCCAGGAGTGGACTTATAAGCAACGAAAGACCCTGGAGTTCACCTGCCATACGGCCTTCTTCGTGGCCATCGTTGTGGTCCAGTGGGCGGATCTCATCATTTGCAAGACCCGTCGCAACTCCATCATCCATCAGGGCATGACTAACCACGTGCTCAACTTCGGCCTCGTCTTCGAGACACTGATGGCCGCCTTCATGTGCTACTGTCCCGGTCTGGACAAAGGGCTGCGGATGTATCCGCTGAAGCTGAGCTGGTGGGTGCCGGCGATGCCCTTCTCGCTGCTCATCTTCGTCTACGACGAGATCCGCCGATTCATACTTCGCCGCAATCCCGGCGGTTGGGTTGAGATGGAGACCTACTATTGAGAGCTTCTCTTCTGCCACACCATTAGGTTCTGTTGTCTTCTTCTACTTCTCTTCACATATACCACGAGCTGCTGTCCATTCATTGACTTGTCTTCAGTATCTCTTCTCTTGTTTTATTGTGTTATCCGTCTTAACCATGAAATTGCATTTTTTAGTCAAAGAGATTTTTAATTCACAATTTATTAATTATGAAAATTATGATTATATAAGACTTTATTTTATGTTATAAATTATAATTTGTTTCTAGTTTTGTGTTTTGTTTTTTAGTTTTGAATTTTAAAGTTTGTTTTTCTAAAACAAAAGCGTTGAATAGTATTATGAGATAAATTAAATTATTGATATATTTATTGAGACTATAATTAATCAAATGATAAATATATTATATAATTAAATATACAAAATACATGGCAATCATGTATATCATGCATTAAAAAAGGAGTTTTTATTCATTTATAACAAACATTTTGCTCACTTTTGCTCGCAATTTGTCCGTCTATTAAGAAAAAGTTAGCTAATGTTTAGATAAATTAAACATAAATAATATAATTGAATAATAAATTTTATTTCTGTTTTAATTAAGTTTATGTTTCATTGAATCGAGTTTTGAAGTTTGTTTGAAATATTTGTGTCTTGACTTCGGGTAGAATTGAATTGGATTTAGATTTTTAAATGAAAGGAATATTAATTATATTTATGACAAATAATAACTATTTATGAAAGTTATGAGACTTTAAGTTATAATAAAAATAATATAGAAGTTAGAAATAATGAATTTAATAAAAATAAAATTAAAAATGTTTTAAAACTTGTGATCTTTGGCCGTCTCCTCAACACTTCTCTCTCACAACTACTTCATCCAAACATGACTTATGTTTTCAGCAAAAATTGCTTTAAATTTAAAACGTTGTCTCAGTTTTTGTTGTTTTAATTGAAATCCATTAAAAAACACAATTAAAATGATGTGTCATTTACTTCAACACAAAAATAATTTAAACAGTTTTGTAATGAAACGAAACGAGAAATCATAACAACAAGAATAATGCTAAACAAGTTTGTCATTAATTTTGTGCTTCACATTAAACACTGCGAAAGTAAACAACAATAAAATTAAAAAACATTAATTTCTAACTTTTATTTAACTTAATAAAGTTTTTATCACTTGTCTGGCATCCCGTGTATATCTGATCAGATTTCTCCCGTTCTCTCTCTCTCTCTCTCTCTCTCTCTCT